ACAGAAAGAAAATGGACTTAAAAGAGCTAAAGAGTTGCTTCGCTTGGCCGAAAGTTGGGAACTGTCGAATTTGTTTTTCTCCGATGAGAAATCATTCGTTGCCCAGTAGTTTGTAAACAAACAGAATGATCGTGTCTACTTGCCAAATAGATCAGATGAAAATGTGCACCTTCGGTTGGCCATCAGAACTCAAGCGCCGGCCATGGTGATAGTGTGGGCCGTCATAGCAGCCGATGGTCGCTCTTCTCTCGTATTAATCGACCGTGGCATCAGAATAAATGCCGAATATTATCGCGAAAATATTCTAAAGTGGGTATTAAAGCCTTGGGCACGCAAAAATTTTGGCCGCAGACCTTGGACATTCCAACAGGACTCAGCACCATCACACCCAGCAAGCGCCACCCAAGAATGGTTACAAAATGAGGTTCCGCGCTTCATTTCCAGCGCATAATGGCCACTAAAATCTCCGCATACCAATCCTTTGGACTATTGTGTCTAGAGTATTTTGGAAAACAAGCTTGGCATTAAAAAATACCCAAGTGTCGATCACCTCAAGCAAGCGCTTCGCCGGGAATGGGCCAAAACACGGCAGAGCATTATTTGGCCGTTTGAAGGCCATAATTCGTTCCAAAGGTGACCAATGCGAACAGATCTAAACTTATTCTAAAATTTGATGCTATTTTCGACATTTTTTGCTTTTATTCATTTAAATTGAAAAAAAACGAGTAAGCAAAGGCTACAGTCGAGCGGGGCCGACCGTTGAATACCCTACAACACTATAATAAACGATACAGTTTATATAGGCGAGATACTCGAAAGAATTCCACAAGATATTGTGACAAATAATAAAAGAAAACCATCAGGTTTCGTTCTCTAATTTTCAAATAATAGCAACTTAAACTAATTTACTCATTTCCAATTTATTGGTAGATGTTGCACTTATATGGTCTTCCTAGATCTGGAACCAATATTTCCCAAAGACCTATAATCTCTCAGAAGTGGCAAAAGATTAACAGTTATTATTGGTTTTTGACTGAAACGCATCTATATGAGATACAGACATTTGACTATATTCTTCAACGAAATAGTCAGAAGTGCGTCTTTCCTGTATTTGTGAATTCTCCAAAAAGTCTCTGGAATGGACATTTTCGTATTTTGTCTACAAAAGTTGGCAAACTATTTCACACATTGAATATTTTGCAATGTGCGGTAACCCCCTTTCAAATGTGCGTGAGGATCGGGCGATAATTAGGACCTGCTGACAATTTTGCAGTTTTTTGGTCCATTTCAACCCCAAAATATATGGCGATCATCTCCAAAAAAGTAGGCTTCTATTCTGACCCTCATCTTATCCCCATGCAAAATTTCGTAAGGATCGGGCCATAAATGCGATCTGTATATGATATCCTGATATCCCAACCACTTAGTTTTGTTAGCTGTAGAAATATTACCAAATGTTTAATTCAAAATGAAAATATGCCAAAAATATGACAAAATTGAAAAAATATGAGAAAATTTAACAAAATCAATATTTTCATCTTTAGAGAGATATTTTTATGCGATTTTTTAGACGTTTTTTCTTTCCTGCCAAGAGGTCATTCTGAATTAATGAGAACTGTCGAAATCAGTTCAGCCGTTCTCGACATATAAAATATCTTTCAAGCATATCTTCTTTGATAGACATATATATCGCACATATTTTGCTATATATCCGATTTGTTGGATGTTAACATCAATGTAAAGATCAGAAGTAACCTTGTCATGGCTTTATGATTTCGCCGGGATTTAAAATATTCGCGGTTTAATTAAAAATTTTGAATTTTTTCAACACAAAAGATATGGTCTATTTTACCCGCTAAATATTATCCGATGACCACCCAAATTGGTAGGCTTCTTCCCCTCCCTAAACTCCAGCTACATGCGAAATTCCGCGTCGATTGGTCTAAAATTGCGACCTGTATAGCTACTGCAAAATCCGACATTTTTTCAGTATTTGGTCCATTTCAACCCCTAAACATTTGGCGATCATCTCCAAAAGCAATAGAGTTCTATTCTGGTCCAAGCCCCACTTACATTCTAAATTTCGTGAAGATCGGACCATAATTGCGACCTGTAGAGTGATTACAAATTAACATGGACAGACGGACAGACGGACAGACGGACGGACGGACATACATAGCTAGATCGACTCAGCTCGGCGAGCTAGGAAGATCCATATATACTTTCCTATATGGGAAATCAATATTTCGAGGTGTTACATAAATTCTGGCCCAATCAAACTTATAATACCCCCAACACATAGTGTTGTAGGGTATAAAAAATGTAAAAAGTATGTCATTTGACTTTGTTGCATTTTTTTTTATCTCACCCTGTATAGTAGAACTTTACATAACAAATAAAAGTTTTTATAGGGAATTTGCGAGAATTAAATCATACCAAATATAATTATAGTTATAATTTAGATTCCAAAGGAACTAATATATGAGAGTAATATTATCCTCTGAATTGATTTCTACTACATTTGGCGAGAAATTTCTGCCTGTTAAATTCGGGCTAATATGTTAACATGCTTGATGCACAATAAAAAGATATGTATCAAAACTGAACCGATCTCGATAAAATTTGTGGAAGGTGTTTCTGAGCTGTATTTGATATATTTCCCTAAATATCGTTGTTACAGAGTGCATATTACGGCTGCAGAGGACAAAGATAACAAATCGGATAAACAATATATATATGGGAGCTATATCTATATTACTTGTGCAAAATTTTGTCTGGATCGGGCAAATAAATGGACAGACGGACGGAAGGACATGTATAAATCGACTCAGAATGTGATTCAATGCAGATCATCAAAGGGAGCTATGGGTCTATCTCGTTTCCTTTTGCCTGTTAGAAATAAATTCACAAAGTCATAATATTCTGACAATATATATGTTAACCCTACACCACAATGTGGTCAGGGTATTATGTCTTTGTGACCCACAATACTTTGGTCAGAATCAGGTCCTTGAAAAAAATCCACGATTATAAAAATATACAGCTGAATTGTCCTTGGAAAAAGTATAAGAAAATTATTTCCGACAAGGGAAACAATATGATTATGTTTTTTTTTTCCTTTGGGGAGGAGGCTTAATTTTCCTGGCTATATCTTAAAAAAATTTATAAATGAATTTTGACTGAAAAATGACCACGTGCAATGATCCAAATAGGATACCCCTTCATGTAATGGGTTTCGTCCAAAGGGACGTAGCATGTTTCAATGAATACAAGGTAGGCTAACTTTGAAAAAATTGCAAGTATAGAGGTCTACCTGTTTGGCTTGTAATGTCAGAATCACTATCAAAGCAATAAAAAATCAAAAAAACTTGTTGCATTGATTTTGAATAAATAATTTAAAACCTCGAAAACTGAATTAAAGGTCAAAATTTATTTTCAAAATCATGTTCTATATATCTCTTATGGTTTATTTCGCGACAAAAACTGTAGACTTTGTCGATGCATATGTTGCAATAAGCATTTTGAAAACACCCGAATTTGAATATTTTCTGAACAATTTTTTTATTATTGAAAAAAACACGCACACATAAACAAATCAAGTTGAAAAAATTGAAATCATATGGTAGTTCTGCCCTATCTTGAATTCATTGTACCATGGGACATAGGATCCATGGTACAATATCAAGGTAGGGCTATGATACCATATGATTTCAATTTTTTTATTTTCTTGGCTTAATATGTCATCTTTATTTGCTTATGTATGTGTTTTCTTTTCAATACCAAAAAAATTGTTCAGAAAATATTCAAATTCGGGTATTTTCAAAATGTTTATTTCAACGCATGCATCGACAAAATCTAGAGTTGTTGTATCGAAATAATCCCTTAGAGATATATAGTACATGATTTTGAAAAGAAGTGTTGACCTTTCATTCAGTTATCGCGGTTTTCAATTATTTATTCAAAATAAATGCAACAAGTTGTTTGATTTTGTTATTGTTTTGATACTATTTCTGACATTACAAGCCAAACAGGTAGACCTCTATACTTGCAATTTTTTCAAAGTTGACCTACCTTCTCTTCATTGTACCATGATAGGATCTATAACAATTATTTTGATGAGTTCGATCTGGGTGTATTAAATTATATATACCAGACTCGAATGTTTATATGCTCCGCCATAAGAGACTTAAATTGACATTTGTTGGTTTCATATCCCAAAAAGGATGTATTTGCGCTATTTGAGCGATGTACCGGGGTCTGTGCAAATACTGAAGCAGCCCCTCAATCATTTAATTCAATTCTACATATCATTCTTTAATTTGGACCTGAACATTCTTTTTTTTTTTGGGGGGGAGGGGGGAGGTGGAGTTGTGTTATAATAAATATATTTCTATAGAACTTTCATACAGATACTACAACTGCAAAATACGGCAAAGAATTTTAAAATCCCTAAAATTGAACTGGACTCTGTCAAACCGTGAATCCATGTAAGTATTGTTCGTATGGAAAATTAATATATAACGAGAAACTAAGTGGAAAGATATAGTCCATTTCGTTGGAAATGCCTGAAACATTAAAATTCCCACAATAGGGGCGTATACGAAATTGTGGACCCATATTTAATTTTTTACTGAGTATCTAAACAAGTAATCCCATATGATTTTCATCTTCGCCTTCCTGGAGTTTCAAAATATACAATTCGAATTAAAAACTCTCAATACAACTCCAAAAATTTACCCAACTAACGAACATTTTGTCTGTCGTGAAGTATTATTGACAGATATTTATATATGTTTTTCATTTTTCATTTGTGTCCAAATTCGTAATAACGTAACAAATTGACACTTGGTGTTAATTTTTAAAGTAAACTGATGTAATTAATTAATTTATAAGTTCAACATAGTTTACACATGGACCCCGCTTATATAATAAATATGATTTTGAATTTAAGTGTACACATACACAATAACATATATACATTTATACCATATCATACTTACTATGTATCTTGAAGGCAACGACTATTTATAAAGATGATCATCAATTATGATTAAAGTGATAAATTTGCCGCTGCTGCTGTTGTTGTTATTTTCAATTTTTTCCTTTCTTCTCACTTTTGGTTTTTGGAAAATCGGAATTTTTTCCCAAACCGCAAATAATAAAAAAAAAACTTGAAATGACTTTGCCAATTACGATATTGGCTGTTGATTGATGCGGTATTGAATATTTATGTTAAGAAACAAATAATTGAAATGCTTGATTTGATGTGTTTGTTATTTTTATTAAAGTTGTTGGTATTTTTTTTAATTGTTGTTGTTATTTGTTTAAACAATAATTTGTTGTTATTATTACTTTTTTCCTAATTTGTTTTTCCTGCGAAAACGATGTCTTTTTTTGTCTCGTAATTTATTTCAAAATCAAATGCAGCCAAGTTATTGACATTCGTCAGTTGTTGCTGTTGTTTTGTCACCTTCAAAAATTTGTTTTTCGATTTTTTTCTATTGGACGAAGATTTGTTTTTTTTATTTTATTTTAATTTGTATACATTTTTAATTTATTCCAAAACAGGAATCAAGTAATTTGTTTGCTTTCTTTTGTGTGTGCGTGTGTGTGTGATAAATTCAAAACATTATTTGCTGTGAATTACACTGCACTTTTGTTGTTTAAACAATTTATCACTGTATTTTACAGCTTGTTTTCTTCATTTCCCTTTTTGGCACTTAACCTTTTTGTTTATTTACATTAGTATTATTTGGGGTTTTCTTCAATATATTTCAACTTTTTAAACACGAATTCGTATGTTTTATTTTAGGTTTTATACCCCACACCATAATTTTGTCTTGGCCAAAGATATATTATTGGATCAACATTTTTAAATATAATACAAATTTCAATGTTATAACCCTTAAATTTCGAAATCCTTGCTTTCGATATTGAAACAATTTTGATCGAAATTAATTTGAATATGTAAATTATAATATGATTAAATTCTAAATTTAGGTAAAAACAAGTAAAGTAGCTGTAAGTTCGGCCGGGCCAAACTTTGAATACCCTCCACCATTTTGTTTGATTTTAAAAATAACGAATGTAGCTGGTATATTAGGGTCTATACGACGACATGAACCTGTAACCTGTGGACCATGTAGGTAACTTTTGTCATAAGCCATTACAATATTCAAATGCGAAACTTAAAAAAAAAATCGGAGAATAATGTAGCTAAAATCATCAAAATACCTAATATAGGGAGGATGGACAATTTTCTGGCATAGGCTGTAGTATCCATTTTGAACTTTAAATACCAAATTTGAAACAATTCCAGTGAAAAATGTCGTTAAAATCATCAAAATACCGAATATCGGGAGGTATCGTTATATGGGGGGCTATACCAAAACGGGCCCATTTTCAATACCAAAAGTCCTGCAGGCATAATATACATTTGAGTAAAATTTTATCAATCTACTTCATTTCGTTCGGAAGCTAGAGTTATTTCCACAAACGGACGGACATTCATAGACATAGAGACGGACATAGATCCATATATGGTTTCTTAAGTCGGGGATCAATGCTTTGAGGTGTTACATATTTTTTGGCCAATTCAAACATAAGTCGAAAATTTCGATTTTTTTTATCATAGGCACCCATTACGAACTTTAAATACGAAATTTGAAACAATTCCGGTAAAAATATCAATGATAATGTCGCTAATATTATAAAAATACCGAATATCGGAAGATATCGTTATATGGGGGCTATACGAAGACGTGAACCTGCATACGTAAAAAGTAGAAGAAACTCCTTGTGAGGACAATTCCATTGAAAAATTTAGCTACAATCATCAAAATACCGAATACCGGGAGGTAACGTTATATGTTGTCTGCAGTAAACAGACGATTTGACCCCAGCGTGATTACCACAGACTGAATCGTCTTAGCTGATCAAGAATATATAGGTCTAAAATTATTTTTTCGATGAGTTTCAAACGGAATGATATACCCTCCATACTATGTATGGTGGAGGGTATGAAAATCCAACACTTTTTATCGTCCCAAACCGTACGAGTTATAGCTAAATCGGTACATAAGAGGGCTATATACAAATGCGTACCAATTTAATCCCAATATGCATAGACGACCGGCTGTCCTTCAACCTCATATAATCTGAATTTGAAAGAGAACGGCCCAAAACAGTGCGAGTTATACCTAAATCCATGATAGATATAAGAGGGTAGTCATGCAATCATATGTTTACAATTTTTTTTTTTTTCAAAATTATTCATTTGACATCTCACTGTCAAAATCTATATTTACAAAACCATTGCATACACACAAATCAGAAATGGAAACTGTTTTCTTTGCAGTGAAATTTGACAAGGTTAATTACAAACAAGTAAAAAGCCATGGAGTTCGGCCGGGCTAAACTTCTAATACCCTCCACCATTGGATAAGAAAAATATTTTTATGCAAAAGTATCTGGATTAGAACGCGTTCCACTTTAAACTACAAATTCCAGTAAGATCGGTAGGAGAAATACAAATCCAAATTTCACAAATACAAATCCCAATTTAGAAAATCTGTCCTAAATCGTCACAATGCCGAATATACGATGAAACCGTTATATGTGCGCTAGAAAAATCCGTGAAAGAAAATGTGGCTAAAACCATCAAAATACGGAATGTCGGGAGGTACCGTTACATGGGGCCTATACGAAAACGTGTACCTATACAGGTACAAATTATTCCAGTGATAGCTCATTATATTGTTTACGAGCGTACAAAAGCATTTTGATGAGAATTTTCCAGAAAAAAAATTATACGAGATGAAATTCAAGTGTGATTTCTTTATATTTGGCTGGAAAACCACAAGTGGCTATCGTAAGAGCACTCCAGCATTTAAATGTGAATACCATCGCTCTTTACCGTGATACTGGTAGCGTAGCCCGACGTGGACGGCAGAAAACAGCAAAATCAGCAGAAATGGTTCGAAAAGTAAAGAAGCGACGTAAAGAAGCAAATGGCTCGTGAGCTGAACATATCACAATATTCCATTGGGCAAATATTGAAAAATGAACTCGGGGAAAAGCCATTGAAATTCCAAAAAGTGCAAGAACTTACAACGCAACAGAAAGAAAATAGACTCAAAAGAGCTAACGAATTGAAAATGTGCACCTTCGGTTGGCCATCAGAACTCAAGCGCCGGCCATGGTGATGGTGTGGGCCGCCATCACAGCATATGGTCGCTCTCCCCTCGCAATAATCGACCGTGGCATCAGAATAAATGCCGAATATTATCGCGAAAATATTCTTGGGCACGCAAACATTTTGGCCGCAGACCTTGTACATTCCAGCACCCAAGAATGGTTACAAAATGATGTTCCTCGCTTCATTTCCAGCGCACAATGGCCACCAAAATCTCCGGATACCAATCTGTTGGACTAGTGTGTCTGGAGTATTTTGAAAAGCAAGGTTGGCACTAAAAAGTACCAAAGTGTCGATCACCTCAAGCAAGCGCTTCGCCGGAAATGGGGCAAAATACCGCAGAGCATCATTCGGGCAGCGTGTGACGGTTTCACTGGCCATAGGTGACAAATTCGAACAAATCTAAACTAATTCTAAAATTTGATGCTATTTCCGATATTTTTTTGCTTTCATTCAATAAATAAAATGTAAAAATTATGACGTTTTACTTTGTTGTAGTTTTTTTATCTGACCCTTCATATAGAGGTGTTACAAACGGAATGACAAATTTAATATACCCTCCTTTCCAAGGTGGAGGGTACAAAAAAAATTCTCCATTCTTCTTAATTTTACAAAGCATAGATCGGTGAAAGATATTTATGTGGGCTATATCCAAGTTTCAGCCACAATGGAATCATACCAGCAGATAGCTGGGAGCCCATCATGAATGTCATGAGATCAGTTCAAATTCGTGACATTTTGGGGTGTATTTAATAAAATGGTGTAGTTCTTACATCGATTTTGTTTTATTTGATATTTTTAATTAATTAACTATTTTACCTTTGGGGCTTACAGTTTAGCACCCAGTTAAAAAATATGGGAGCTACATCTAAATCTCAAATGATATTTACCAAAATTTGTACTTTTCTACCTTTGGTGACACCAAATACTATTTGTGCCAAGTTGACAACGACTTCTATTTCTGTCCAACTTTACAAGGTCCCGAAAATACTGCACGTAAGTGGGTAGCGGTAGTTCCTGATTTTTTGATATTTTTAGCTACAATTTCAAACTGAATGGCCTGTAAATTATGAATTTGAGTTCTGAGTGAATATAAACTTCTCCTGCAAAAATTGTCCAATATAGGTTCACATTTTCACAAAGCTACATAAATCGGTTAAAAATTGAAGTAGTTGGTTTAAATATATTCTTGCAAGAATATACTATTCGGACTAGCAAAATTATGGTGCAGAATGTGTGTTAATATGTAGGCTCACAAAAACTTATTTTTTTTTTGCGATTTTTAGTTTTATTTTTTTATTTTCAGTTTTTTCTTATTTAACATAAATTCTTAATATTTTTCAAACACTTTTATGTTCTTGATGAAGGTCTGATGTGTTTGCCCCTTTTGGCAATCTAACCGCCAAAATTGATTTTATTTTCATGTCCTTCATTTCATTTGCAAACACAGCAGACTTCCTTGTATGTCATTGTAGTTGTTTTTGTTTTTTTTTTCTTTTCTTATTCTAATTCTATTGTTTGGTAGCACTTGTTTAATTTTTGGCAAATTAAGCATAATTTGTTTTTTTCATTTCTTCTTCCTAATTGCTTAACAGCAGCAGCTGCTGCTGTTGTTGTTGTAACGCGAAATGCATGACATATCCCCCCACCAAAGCAACAACAGCAAACAAACAAACAAAAACATAGCAACAATAACCTCAGTAATGAAGGCATAATTCGTTTTTGTTGTTGTTATTCTTGTCTACCAGTGCATGCAATTTGCAATATGTTGTGGTTGGATGTATGATGAATGTTTTGTTGTTATTGTTGCTTTTATTGGTTAACGGCCAAACAGACGGGGGGAGCATTCGATGCGCGTTATGTTTGTTTGCCGCTACCGTTTTGGGGGGTGCATTTCGTCCCTAGTTTATGTTTTTTATTTCTTCTTAATTTTTCGTTTTTTCCCATACACTACAAAATTCACGTTTTATGCTTTTCCGAGCTGTGGCTGCTGCTAATTCCTCGTAGCAACGACAACGATGTTATTCGCTTCGCGTATTGTTGAAAACTAAATTATAAATTTATTTTTTTCGTACACAAAAAACAACAATACGTGTTGCGTTTAATTCGGTCGGTCTGTGTTCGTCGGTTTGTGTGCAAATGTGTGCTGTTTTGTTGCTGTTGTTGTTATTGTCTTTTATGTGCGACGAGACTCGAGCAGCCAGGCAACACTCATGCCCCAGTAGTACACTTCATTGGTTATTCTCGGAGAATGTGAATTGTGCGAGGTAAAAGACCCCTTAGGAAATTTGGGGATGAGAATGTGAGAAAAAGAGATAATGACACTGCTGAGAGAGCGAGAGAAAAATGGGGTGGGAGGCAAACATATGTTATCACAACATTGGGGTAGTCAGTTAAAAATGTCTGTTAGTTGCTTGCAATAAATTTGATTTAGATGATGTAATTGCAGGAGATGAAAAATAAAAGCAACAACTCCTTTATTTAAATAATAAATTAATTTCGGCAATATAAAGATCAAGCGTTAATGTTCTGTCTAGTTGGCCTTATCAAGAACAAATATTTTTTAAAATTTGATATATAATCTATCTCGAAGGAATGAATACCAACAACAAATACGATGTATGTGTCACATTCAGCATTACTGGTAATGACAATTTTACACCCTCTGCATTACCAGTATCCCAAAAATAATGACAACTACAAAATCACTGCATTACCTGTAAGCTAAATAATAATGAATAAGGCCGGAGATATTAAAGAGGATTATGTCAGCCATAAATCACGGTGGCCTTTCGTAAAAGAACAAATGATATAAGATGACCTAGTGAATAGTAAAAGTCTTTCTCTCCGAAATATGAACTTTTTTTGTACGTTTTACATTAAAAATGCATTCCTAGTTGGCCCTCGAAATGCGTTTCTGAACTCACAGTTGGAAATCCATTATTTTGACTAAAATTTTTCTAGTTTCTGGATCCCAAATTTTAAATTTCTAACCCTTCTAGTATTACCATTTTAAAAATCAGCAAAGAAAATCTAAAAGTCGCGCGGACCGACTTTATGGTACCGTACACGCCTTTGCATATTTCGTAGAGCTTCATATAACAAATAAAAAATATTATAAATCGGATGAACAACGGATGATTGGTTGTAAGTGCCAAATTCCATCCCATTTGGGTTAATATTACACGCTATATCCAAATCTGAACCGATCTTGATAAAATTTGGGAAAGGTATTTCTGTGCTGTATTCGATATATTTCCCCAAATGCCGTTGTTATAGAGTGCATATTACGGCTGCGGAGGACAAAAATATCAAATCGGATGAATAATATAGATGGCAGATATAGATATATCTGAACCGATTTCGATCAAATTTGACATACTTATTTCCAGGCTTAATTTTGTCGTATATTCAAAATTCCATATTATTTGGACTGATATCACACGTTTGGTGCACAATAAAAGGCAAGTCGGACGAAGATATATATGGGAGCTATATCTAAATGTTCACCTATTATCTCCAATTTCAATAGGGTTCGTCCTTGGGTCAAGCAAATGACCTGTGAAAATTTTCATCTGGATGGGAAATAAATGCGACCTGTACTTTGCTTACAAAAATACATGAACAGACAGACTGACGGACATGCATAAATCGACTAAGAATGTGATTCTATGCAGATTTTCAAAATTAACAATTTGTCCATTTCGTTTCCTTTTGCCAACAGAGGTATTTACACCTGGAGTCAATATTTTGACTCTGTCTAGTCCTATATGTATACTTCTATGTCTTTGCCGTAATTAGCTTCTTTAGAAAACCATTTTTTCGGAATGAAACCAATTTTGATTTTGCAGCTGAAATTGTGTTTTTATGGAAACTTATAAATATGTTTTAATTGTTTCTGAAGCCAATTATTAATAATTTTTTCTTGAAAACAACTTTTTTTCAAACAAAAATTCCATTCGTCTTATGTTGCCATATTAACACTGCATGACAAGATTTTCGCAATTCACCAAATCAATCGGATTTAGAATTTGTGGAATTAGTGAAATGCTTGAACTGAACTGGCTGTAATTTGGTATTTTGGGAATTTTAAAAATCGGACTTAATTTTGGCATGAGTCCACAAAACTGTTCCGTCCGAATTTGGCTACTACATTTTGAAATCTTATGTGTATTCCATGTACCACACATTCGCGTTTTCCAACTATTTAGACAGCGAGAGTGTCGTATATTCAGTATTATTAAAGGTTCCTGTGTGGTTTAAATATTATACTAAGGTCACCGTACATTTTAGAGATTTTTCAGCTAATCAATTCAGATTGTTATGTACATATTTGAAACCATGGTACAATGATATCAAGGTAGGGCTATGATACCTTATAAGTTTTATTTTTTTTACTTTCTTGGCTTAATATGCCATATTTATTTGTTCATGTATGTGTTTTCTTTTCAATAACAAAAAAATTGTTCAGAAAATATTCAAATTCGGATGTTTTCAAAATGTTTATTTCAACGTATGCATCGACAAAATCTAGAGTTTTTGTAGCGAAATAATCCTTTAGAGATATATAGAACATGATTTTTAAAAGAAGTGTTGACCTTTCATTCAGTTTTCGCGTTTTTCAATTATTTATTCAAAATAAATGCAACAAGTTGTTTGATTTTTTATTGTTTTGATACTAATTCTGACATTACAAGCCAAACAGGTAGACCTCTATACTTGCAATTTTTTCAAAGTTGACCTACCTTCTCTTCATTGTACCATGTTTGAAACCACAATTTAAGATACAGAAAACGTATATACATTATGTAAAAGGTGTCTCTTCCAAAATGTAGAATTATTCATTTGTTCCAAAATGAAAAACTTATTTGTATATTACTTTGTGGTCACCATTTCAAAATAATAGAAATTAAACAAATTATCAGTACTACATGGCACATGTATCAGTATCTGTCTGTATATTTGTATCAACAAAATGTTTTATACATACAAAAACAATGTAAAACGTATAACGTTAAATTCTTAAAACTAAAAATTCACCAAATATCACGATGTGCTGTTATTACCACCTGATAATCTTTTATGGGATATTTATATTTTAGATATACACAATCCTTGACACTTTCCAAGTCATTGATGCCCAAGCAAAACATCATTTCCAGAACTAATAGCTGCTCGTACACCTTGGACCATTCCATGCCCAATGTTTGGGCACATGTCTCTAGCAGCCACATACATGACAAGGGAATTTTATTTTTCAACTGAGCCAATTGGCCTTTTGTTAACATTAGAATATTACCAAACAACAGCCAACAGTCCATATTTGAAACATAGAATTTAAGTATTTCTGGAAGATCGTCGGCATTATTTTCCGGAATAAATTCACTTTTAATATGAATATCAGTTGTTGATGAGTCAATTGGATCTGTAGTTTCCTGTTGGCTGCTATCTGGGTCGTTGTTGTAGTACAATGCCTCTTCATCTTCAATATTGGCAAAAATATCTATGATACCCAAATTTCTACGTGGTGTTGCAATGTCACTGTCTGCCGGCAAGGGATCCATATTATTTTCGCTGAACACATCGTGGGAGCTTCGAATCTCGGAAAAACTGTTATGTTGATCGGAAATGTTTGTTTTGATGTAAGATACATTATTGTGTACTCGTGAAGTATTCTGCAAAAAAAGAAATGAACGTACGTAAATAAATTAAAATTGTATTTTAGCACATGGGATCAAGGAGAAATTTGAAGCTTAGGTTTTTATTATCATCAGATAAAAATAAATATGTGTGCTTGTAAAACGAATTTAAACGGTGGTTAATATAATTTTCGGTATAAGAGATATCCTACTGAGCGCGATCTTGGTTGGTTTGTCTATATGGATGGTACCTATTAGTTTTGGTTAGGTTTTATGCTGGGTGAGATAAAAAAAAACTGCAACAATGTCAAACGCCATAATTTTTACTTTAATTTTTTAATTTTATTGAATGATAGCAAAAAATGTCGGAAATAGCATCAAATTTTAGAATAAGTTTAGATTTGTTTGAATTTGTCACCTTTGGCACGAATTATGGCCTTCAAACGGCCAATGGAACCGTCACACGCTGCCCGAATGTGGCTTTGCGGTATTTTGGGCCATTTTCGTCGAAGTGCTTGTTTAAGGTGATCGAAACTTTGGTATTTTTTAGTGCCAATCTTGCTTTCCAAAATACTCCAGACACAATAGTCCAACGGATTGGTATACGGAGATATTGGTGGCCATTGTGCCATTTTTGGGTGGCGCGTGTTGATTGCGATGGTGCTAAGTCCTGTTGGAATATCCATGGTCTGCGACCAAAATGTTTGCGTGCCCAAGGCTTTGGGCATTTATTCTGATGCTATGGTCGATTAAAACGAGCAGAGAGCGACCATCGGCTGTTGTGGCGGCCCACACTATTTGCAATATTTGGAATTTAAATGGCTTTACCCCGACCTCATTTTTTAATATTTGCCGAATGAAATATTGCAATATGTTCAGCTCACGAGCGATTTTTCGGCAATTGCGACGCGGGTTTCGATCAAGTCGCTTCTTTACTTTATGAACCATTTCTGCTGATGTTGCTGTTTTCTTCCGTCCGCTTCCTTGACGTCGGGCTACGCTCAGGGTCAGTATCACCGTAACGGACGATGGTACGATAAAATATAAAGAAATCACACTATCACGCTTGAATTTCATCACGAATAACTTTTTTTCTGGAAAATGCTCACCAAAAAGCTTTTGTACGCTTGTAAACAACATATTGAGCGGTCGCTGGAATAATTTTACCAGCTGTCGGACGAGTGGCTTAGATATGACAGCAGTCTGAAGTTAATTGCAGTTTTTTCATCTCACCTTGTATATTATTTTAGGAAATTTGACACCGTGGGTGCGTTAGGCAGAGGTGCTAAGTTCAGAAACTAACATTGGAATGCTGGCTAGAGCACTCTCAGAGTTCTAAAAAGCTGAAACATTCATATCCTATTGTCCGAAATCTAGAAGGAATAGGTCGATATTGAATGGGTCCATATGGAATAGGTCTATATGGAATAGGACCATATGGACCATTGAAAAATCAGGCGAGTAGTTTCAAAATATGTAAAATTTTGAAAACTGTGAAAATTTTGTGGGAGTATATCCATATGGAAAGTACCATTGAAAGCCTGGGAAAGAGTAGTCCCAGAAATATTAAAAAATCGAACAATTCACTTTGGACTTTTGAAAATAAAAATGAACATTTTCTTAAAATTTGTTAACACATTCCACTGTGCGACATCGTGGAGAAAACGTCCATTTGAATGTTATACCAATTAGCTCTCAGATACATGAAAACATTTAACTTCAGAGATTTGGAAAAAAATAATTATTAGTTCTCTTTCGCAAAGTTATTAATGTGTTATGCGCCCATTTGAAACCATACTGGTGCTTAGCAAGCTGGTAGGGCTCTTTCAAGGACGGGAACACCAGGACATTTGAAATAGTTTGCTAATGGTGAAATGAAGGAGATATTGGACACAAGGATTATCTAGCAAATTTCTGCAACTTTAGAATTTTTTAAAACTTGGACATCTTCCAAAATTCAAATGCGTTGCATACGAACTAAGAATCCTATTCCAGTACGCAACAAAAATCAGGAAACCTATCAGCCAAGGTTAAAAAACAAAAAAATTAAATTAAAGTTTATACACACTTACTTCAAAACTAGCAATTGCTTCTTCTCTCTGGTCCATACTCTGCTGTATCGCAAGACTATTATTGTATTCCTCAATTCGCTTTAAAACTGACTCCTGATAACTTTCAAATTCTGTTTTCCAATTCAGATCATCTGTGTGCACTTTAAGTTCTTCTTTAGTTTTTTGCTTCCAATCAGCGTCCGATACGTCGAAACATGCCATTTGTTTACGACAACGTCGATATATTTGTTTGGGAACTTTAAAAATGCCAACACGTTCACGATTTGGATTAGCCTCTAATCTGATGACTCTCAACTCTTTGTGATTATTTTGAAAATATTCTATTAAAGGCTTCACTTCTACATACGAGTTTATGTCACGTTGTGAGTGATCTGTACGCATAAAATAGGGTATTTGAAAACTGTTGGATGTGGGTGCAACATTTGACGAGGACATGTAGTTATCGTAATGCAGTAAAATGGTTTTGAAATATGAATGGGCCGGGGTGAGTGTTGGTTTGAATTCAATCTTGTGTTCCGTTAAGAAATCTGATGTCGCTTTTGGTGTATTCATGGTCTCTTTATAATTTTGCAAAAACGATTCAAACAATTTTTTGAAACTCTCCATTTTTTGTTTACACATTGGATATTTTTCCTTTTCGTCACTTAATCGATCCTGTTCCTCTTCATGGTCTATATTCTCTTCCATTTCATTCAGCAGTTGTTCGGTACTTTGACACTGATCGAATTGTTTAGCGAAACTTGTATTGAATCGCGACACAATGATTTTGCGCATTTCTATATATTTTACCCATTCATCCCAAACGAAGAGCTTGGGTCGATTTTGGCGATTTCTGTGATTAAGTTCCTGAATCTTGAGATTGAGTTTTTTGGCAGCCTGTGAAATGCGTTTTTCTTTTTGACCATCAAGACCAAAAAACAGTTTCAATATGAAAATTATATAGGCCATTGCTCTGGCTTCGTATGCTGGGTAGCAGGCAGTACGTGTTGCAAATTGTGGTGGCAAAAAATTAATTAAACGCTCGGCGTATATCCCTATATCTTGAGGCAAACACAACTCTGTTACATATCTTTGGACCAAAGCAATCATGTCCGGTGTCTGGAATCGTTTTATGCCAATATTTTTGGCAAACAAGGTTGTGTGAAACCGAAACCCCTGCACAAACAAAATAACGATTGTTAATCTCAGTCTTCTTGACATTAGCAAGTGCAAGAACTTACCTTTTCTTTATATTTCTCTGGAAATTTATAGAAATTAATTTTCTTCAACAGTCCTTTACCACCTGCAACGATATTTTCTGGAAAATATTGTAAGATATTCTTCCGACCAATGCGACCTTCTTCAATAAAACGCAACAGATCTGTTAATTGCATATCGTCACCGATCAAATTTAGGGCTATAGCTAAAATGCTGTAGATTTGTTTAATGCTCATCACCATGACGGAATATTCCTGATATTTAAGCTCCTTAACTTTGGGCTGACTATGACACTCCAATTGGCCTTCGCTGTCCATTTCATGGCGCAGCAAATGTTTCACCGGCATTTTCTTTTTCAGAATTTTTCTTGCTTTCATGCTGAAATTCAGTCTTATTGCCTTATTGGTGTTTGCAGAGGTAGAACTCATCGATGTAGCGCTGGAATAAATGGATTCATTGAGTTTTCTCTGAAAAGAAGGATATGATATAAGAAATATAATTAATTTGAAATCTGTTATAAACTGAAAAATTTGATATATTATAAAGCCTATATATACAGGAGGGGCAAACGAAATCCTCCTATCAGAAAATGCTATACATTTTACAATTGGCCCCTAATGTCTTAATTACAGCCAAAAAACATCGGAAGTTTACTTTAACGCCACATTGTACGTGTGATAACTACGCACCAAGACTGACCCTCGTAAAAATTTCAAGATGTAGCCATTCTAGCTTTAGCACTTTCTCGGCTGGATTTTTGGAAATTCGTACATAGAGAGTACGAAAAGTACTAAAAATTTAATACTAGGTATTGGACAAACGGAATGAGCTAGAATTCTGAAATGCCAAAGGAATTTAGGAAATTCGAACTTAAAGGTTGATAAAAATTTCTAAAATGGTACTAAACTTTTAAAATGGTACTATGTGAACGGATACAGCTAAGAATATTGGTATGAGAATCATTGTTGAAAAATAAATTAGGTTTTTGAACGTGGTATTTGAAATGTGTACTAAGTGTGCGAAATGGTACTAATTTGGTTCAATTTGGTATTGGGTGAACAGATAGCGCTTTAAATCTAAAATTTTGTATTAGGTATTGTAATTTTGTATTGTATTCATGTGTAGCCGGGACACATGGAGGTGGTTTCATAAATGTGTACTATACAGGGTGAGATGAAACAAGTTAAAAACCAGTAAGTTCGGCCGGGCCGAACTTTGAATACCCTCCACCCTTTGGAACGAATTTGGAATTTTTCAAAAAATAAAATCCTTAAAAATGTGTCGTTTGTTTGGGGTCCTTGTAGTCGTTAGAGGTACCGTTATATGGGGGCTATACGAAGACGTAGAGCTGCACAGACAATTTTCTGTCAAAGGCTGCAGTATCCATTACGAACTTCAAATACCAAATTTTAAACAATTCCGGTCCATAATGTCGCTAAAATCATCAAAATACCGAATATAGGGAGGTACCATTATATGGGGGCTATACGAAGACGTGGACCTGCACAGACAATTTTCTGTCTAGGGCTGAAGTATCCTTTCGAACTTCAAATACCTAATTTGAAAAAATTCCGTTGAATAATGTCGCTAAAATCATCAAAATACCGAATATAAGGAGATACATTTATATGGGGACTATATGAAAACGTGGACCTACATGGCCCATTTACGAACTTAACCTGTCTACTGAAAAAATAAACATGTGTGCAAAATTTTAGCCTTCTATCTCAATTCGTTCGAAAGATAGCGTGATTACAACCGACAGACGAACAGACAGACAGACGACATTGCTAAATCGACTTAGAATTTTACGCTGATCAAGAATATATATACTTTGTTGGGTCTGACATGAGTATTTCGAGGAGTTACAAACGGAATGACAAAGTTAAACAAAATTCAGATTGCTGTCATTTCTAAGCCACTCGTCCGACAGCTGTTAAAAACAGCCGGGTTAACAGCCGATGTTCGCTCTCCGCTCGTATAATTCGACCGTGGCATCAGAATAAGTGCGGATAATTATCGCGAAAATATTCCGGAGGGCCGCAGACCTTGGACATTCTAACAGGACTTAGCACCATCCCACTCAGCAAGCCCCAAAATGAGGTTCCTCGCTTCATTTCCAGCGTACAATGGCCACCAAAACTCCGGTTACCAATCCGTTGGACCATTGTGTCTGGAGTATTTTGGAAAGCAAGGTTGGCACTAAAAAATACCAAAGTGTCGATCACTTCAAGCAAGCGCTTCGCCGGGAATGGACCAAAATACCGCAGAGCAACATTTGGACCGCGTGTTACGGTTTCTTGGCCGTTTGAAGGCCATAATTCGTGCCAAAGGTGAACAACTCGAACAAATCTAAACTTATTCTAAAATTTGATGGTATTTCCGATATTTTTTGCTTTCATTCAATAAAATTCAAAAAAAAAAAGTAAAAATTATGGCGTTTGACTTTGTTGCATTTTTTTATCTCACCCTGTATTTGAAAAGTACTAAATGTTAATGAATTTGGTGTGGGGTGAAGGGATGGGTCTGGAATCCACAAATTTTGATATTTACGTCTCTGTTGGTACCTTGAATCGAGATATGGATATGGTGGTTTTAGAAATGTGTACTAAGTGCTACAAAAATGGGTATTAGGTGAAGGGGTAGAGATGGAATTCCAAAGGGACCTAATTATCGTCTCTGCTGGGGACCGGTTGTTGTAACAGCTTCATATGTATTGTTCGAATTTTGCTAATCCGGTTCTAACTCCAGGTTTGAAAAATTGACAGAGGTCTTCTAGAGTGGTGGTAGTGGCTGGTATCTGGTTTTGAGATCTGGTGGTGGTGGTAATTGTTCGAAAAGTACTAAATGGAACTAGTTTTGGTATTGGGGGAAGGAATAGAGCTGAAATTCTGATACATATGGAGACGTTGAATAGTTTTGGGCTATAAAATTGGATGCGAGCCCATTGTTTTACTAATATCCTCCTCGGTGAAGTTAAAAAGGAAAGATTTTGAAGAATTTTGATGTGTCTCATATTATTCTTTCCGAATAGGAAAAGCCATGAAAGTCTGAAAATTTAGTACAATGGTTGAAGTTTTAATTAAAAAATGTTGTCAAACTGTTGCCAAGGTCCTAACACGAACTGTTGGAACATATCTAAAATTCTAAGGTGGACATTTTCGTTGACGAAGTAGCGGGTACTTGCTAGTAGCAGATATAGAAATGCTCTTACTGTCCTACACATTTATATTCCCCTTAAAAATAAAACGTGGGTGTGAAAAAATGGTAAAATCCTGAACGTGTACGCCGACGTATTCCATTTTCAGTTCTTGTATAGACAAACATATTGAACATGTATATGTTCTGCAACAGGGTGCCTCTTCATGACTCCTGTGGACCATTTACATGAGGAGACGAAGGTTCTTCCCTTACGTGAGCATAATCATATGCTTTCGTTGCAGTACCTGCTTGGGTGTTATCGTGGGAGTCACCCTAACCACCATATAGTGGATAGAACTCCCCCACCCAGGCGTGTCAGGAAGGACCTGCATGATCTAGAGAGAGAGGGCCAGTGATATAAGAGATAGCCCCTAGATCATGAAGCCTATCAAGCGGGTCTGAATAGCATTCATACTGATGCAGTCGCAGAGGTAGTTAATAATTACAGTATGAATGAATGGAGTACACCCCCCATCCATTGTAGCTGAAGAACGTCGGCTGCCAAGGCAAACCAGGGTAGTTTTGGTCCAACTACGTTCAGGATGGTGCCGCCGTCTCAATTCGTATTGGGCACGAATTGACGAAGATGTGTGTAACGCCTGCCCAGCGTGCGATACAGGCCCACACACTACGCTGCACCTGTTTAATTGTCCAGCCAAACCTACCCAACTCCGTCCAGAGGATCTCTGGCTACAGCCCATAATGGTAGCAGAATTCCTAAACCTGGACATTGAGGAAGAACCGGATTAGTCAGAAAACAAACAACGGAGCATGTTAAAACTGCTACAACAACAAAAATATTGACACGAAATTTTAAAGAATCGTACAAAATATCACAATGTACTAAGTTCGACTCGATATCGGTTAGGAAATATTACGATTCGTCCAATTTTCGTCCAAAAACATAAGTTATAAAAAATTTTTGATTCGGCACATTGTTTATCAAATCAATATCATTTGACATTGTAGCCATATGACTGAGGGGTTAACAAATCTCGCTGATATGCATTCTGAGCGTAGAATTATATTTCAGAAACAGACGGTCTTTTATATATACACATCAATTACATACTATAACCTGGACCAAAACCATACTTAAAATACAACTTTTTTTTAAATAAAAAAAACATCTTTTATTATTAAATGCTTCCAAGAGGTCCATACTCAAATGTCAAAGTGCAAGAAGTTTAGAAATAAAATTGATTGGGGAACAGCAGTGGTAAAAGTAAAAATAGTGTACGTTTTTCGGGCGAATCTTTATGGATTGGGATCCTCATAGGATATTCTAGAATTAATTAAAAATAAAATATTAATAAATTTTAAATTTAAAAATATTTTCACTTACCCCCATTGATGGCATCACTTGTTGGTACATCAATAACATTTTCATGATTTTCGAATGAATCCGCCAGTGATGCAGCATTAGTTTTAGCGCACATATAACAAATTGCGGCGAGCAAAAAGAAAACTAAAGAACGCATTTTGACTGTTGAATGTTATGTGTAGGAATTGTTATCTGAAAGTTGTAACTTTTCGATATTTATGTGGCCTTTAAATACTAGAAACGCAACATTAGATCCAATAGTAAAAGTTCCAATATTGCATATGTTGTTGACAACTTCTTACGACGTACCATATCTATTTGGGTTAATTGTATTGAGCTATGTGGTTCTTTGAAAAGTATTTCTAATGAGTTACAAGGTTCTTAGAAAACATTAACATTAATGTTTCAAATTGTATATTTTACCGTAAAAATTTGTGAAAATGTTTTGTATTTTTATTTATTTCTTTTTCGATATTAATTTTTTTTATATAATTTACAACAACATAGGCCTAGTTTTTTTATTTCATAGAAATCGATTGAGGAATGCAAGGTTCAAGTCGAACTTGTAACATTCGCAATGGTTATTTTTTCTTAGAATTTTATTAAGGGTGTTTGATTATAACATAGAAAATAATTGCAGGAAAAACAGATTGAGCTTAAAATAGAAGGCACATGTATCGCCATTTTGAATGTTTACATGACAAAGTAACCTGAAATTCCCCCCTCTTCCAAATTTTTTTCAAATTTTCTAAACATCGTTCAGTACAATTTTTTTTAAGCAAAATATAAATAAGAGTATTAACCATATACATATGATCCTCGCCTTTATAAAAAACTCGAAAATTAAAAAATTAAGCCGAGCCTACTTTTGGATTTGAACCTCGGTGTGCAACCAACTAGAAGTTGTCGTGTCAACGTTCAGAGCCATTAACCCGTCTTTATACAGCAGCAAGTGTACGCTTTGTCGTTGTGAACAATAAAATCCATCACTATAAAAAAAGCTTTGCTGTGAAAAGAATTGCTAGTAAAACGTGAGTCGAATTTACAGGGTTTCTGGTGTGGTGAATGTGTGATAGTGTCTATATGGCTTTCTTTTTAACTACAAATTTCAAATCATTAAGCTCGCCACGAAAGAGAAATAAGCACACAAATTCCCTGGAATCATTGAATTTTGGGTGTATAGTGTCATCGGCAATATTACCAATACCGATAAGGAGGACTGTGTGATGTTAGTGAAAAATGTTAACCCTCAAACAAGTCACCAAAGTGGTCTTTTTGTTCCTTTCTTCAAAACATCTTAAAAATTTCTTTTCAAACAGGATGGTAGCTAGTCAAAATATTTTATAAAATTATTTGTATAAAAATTATACTCTAGGTCACAAAATACAGGGTGAGATAAAAAACCTGCAACAAAGTCAAACGCCATAATTTTTACATATTTTTAAAGTTTATTGAATGAAAGAAAAAAATGTCGGAAATAGCATCAAAATTTAAAATAAGTTTAGATTTGTTCGAATTGGTCACCAAACGGCCAATGAAACCGTCACACGCTGCCCGAATGTTGCTCTGTGGTATTTTGGCCCATTCCCGGCGAAGCGCTTGCTTGAGGTGATCGAAACTTTGGTAATTTTTTATTGTCATCCTTGCTTTCCAAAATACTCTAGACGCTATAGTCCAAAGGATTTGTATCCGGAGATTTTGGTGACCATTGTGCGCTGGAAATGAAGCGAGGAACCTCATTTTGTAACCATTTATGGGTGTTGCGTGCTGAGTGCGATGGTGCTGAGTCCTGCTAGAATGTCCAAGGTCTGCGGCCAAAATGTTTGCGTGCCCAAGGCTTTAATACACACTTCAGAATATTTTCGCGATAATATTCGACATTTATTCTGTTATGGCGGCCCACAACATCACCATGGCCGACGCTTGACTTGTGGTGGCCAACCGAAGGTGCACATTTTCAGTTGACCTCTTTGGCAAGTAAACACGATCATTTTATTTGTTATAAGCTGCTGGACAACGATTTTTTTCATCAGAGAAAACCAAATTCGGCAGTTCACCACTTTCGGCCAAGCGAAGCAACTCTTTAGCTCTTTTGAGTCTATTTTCTTTCTGTTGCGGTGTAAGTCCCTGCACTTTTTGGAATTTCAATGGCTTTACCCCGAGCTCATTTTTCAATATTTGCCGAATGGAATACTGCAATATGTTTAGATCACGAGACATTTTTCGGCCACTGCGACGCGGGTTTCGACCAAGTCGCTTCTTTACTTTTCGAACCATATCTGCTGATGTTGCTGTTTTATTCCGTCCACTTCCTTGACGTCTACGATGGTTCGAAACACATAAGATTTATTCACGTTTAAATGCTGGAGTGCTCTAACGATAGTCACTTGTGGTTTTCCAGCCAAATATAAAGAAATTATACTATCACGCTTGAATTCCATCACGAATAACATTTTTCTGGAAAATTCACACCAAAATGCTAGCTGGCTGGCTTAGAAATGACAGCAGTCTGAAGTTGGTTGCAGTTTTTTCATCTCACTCTGTATATCTTCATACGATTTGGTATTTCAGTCCCTCACATCCGTAATATGCACTCCACAGCAATGATATTGCGAAATTTACCACACATAAGATACACCCAAATTTTGATGAGATCGGTTCAGATTTAAGTATTGTGCACCAAATATCAGCCAAATAGGATTAATTATGGCAAATTTGGAAGCATATACGACAATTTTGGTGTAAAGTCGGTTCAGATATTGCTATAACTCCGATATAAGGCATATCATGTACTCAAAGTCATATCATGTACTGTAATGGGTAAAAGAGCTTCAGTGAAATATAGTGGAAATCGATTCGGGATAGGCTATGCCTCCCATATACTAGTTCTTTTTTGATTTCAAATTATATCTGTGGGGAAGGCACAGGAATGTTTTTAATTCTCACATTTGAACTAAGTCTTATATTGAAAAATTGCGAAACTTTCTCGAATTTTGAGAAAGTATCAGAAAATTTAAAATTTGTTAAAAAAATTGCGATGTATCAATTTGGACGAAATCAGATCATTCTTTCGAGTGTTATCCTGAGGAATGATGGACATAGCTGGATTGGCTCCAGAGACAGAGGCTCTAAAACCATTATAAACGTAGAAACATGGCTAAGGCTGTAAAAACTAGCGTTTACACAAAAAAATTTCAAGAAGTGTAAACAGACGGCCGGAATGTTAATAAAGGTATATTTCAGTTAAAATTAAACCTGGATTTCACTGATCAAACTTACAAGTATTAATGAGAGATTCTTCCCAATAACAATTTGCAAACTCTCTGTAATGTAACTGCCAAATTGCTTTCACCACACAACACACCTAAAATAAATTCAATAGTTTTAGACCCCTTGTTTTCAATCCGAATTGATGTGGTATACAATTACATAGCAAAATTTGACTGATTATGAAGGAAGGTCCTCTTTATCCGCTCATAAAAATCATATATGTCATGTGTGACAAATAAAGTAAAAGGTCGCTCAATGATAAGATGTTGGTTCCTCAAATTTGCAGTAGTTTTGCAATTTGCAATTTTTTTTTAATCTTCTATATTCTCAGCATTGTTCTAATTTCCCCTTCCCGCTTTTAACAACGAATCAAAAGTATGCACTCGAATTTCCAACCTAAACCCTAAACCCAATAATACGAATTTCAAAAAATCAGGTCCTCTAGCATATCTTCACACCAAATATGACCCTTATGCCAAATAGCAATCATTTTAATTTGCCACGAATTTTTACATATAGTACTTTCTTTACCTAACAGAATTTTCTCTTAAGATATGTTGTTAATCTCGAGATGAGATTATTTGCTAATCCATAATTAGAAACAAAATTGAGTAACGTAAAATTAATTTTCTTTCAATATTTAACCATGAAACATGATTGATGAGCATATTCTAGGACATTGATAACAATAAAAACAAATTATGCGAACCCAAGGTATGTTTTGTATAAAAGGCCTGCGATGTTAAAGCAAGCCATCAACTATTTCGGGCACAACATTGAAATAACAACATTGTTCAAAAATGCGTACTTTTATCATAGTTCTTGTTGCGGTAATTTGCTGTTTGGTTGTTTGTACCAATGCAGCTGCACTGCCAGAATATTCTGAAGAAAATCGCAATGAAATAATAACAGATGATATAGTCGAACAAAATAGTAAGTTATATTGTTTATAAACATAAAATATAATGTTTAAATTTTAATACTTTAGATGAAGATGAACCACAAATTCAGGATAATGAAAAAATTAATCCACAACGTCGTACCCTATTCCTTCTGCTACCTCTACTGTTTCCCGATCAATTTTATTTCTCTTAAATATGACTTGAAAACGTGGAAATTTAAAGGCGATACTTGGACCGGATTTTTATGCTAATTTCAAAAATATAATAAACGAAATAAACGAAGAAATAATATATCATTTTAATTGTTTGTATTAACGGATAGCAAAGTTAATTCCATCCCAAATCGATAAATCTCGACAAGATTTCCGTCTAATTGATTATTTATATGATTTATTTACTATGACGTGCATCGTCATCTTCACTGTCTAACGCTATCGACCCTAAATAATAAATCATCCTTTGGCCACAATAAAATGCAACGAGCAACCTAATTTTGGACAGAGAAGACCTTTCTTACATAGATCACAATGCGGTAAATGGCAGCTTCAATAGACAAACCAGTAAAGAAAGTCCTAAAGTCGGGCGGGGCCGATTTTATGATACCCTACACCACTTTGCTAATTTAGTTGAGCTCCACTTAATAATTAAAAGTTTTTATGGGAGAATTCAATCATACACGCTATGATTATAATTATAATTTAAAGTTCAAAGGACTAAATATTCCGAAGCATTTCTATCTTTTAAATTCGGACTTGTATTGCCCATTTGGTGCGAAATAAATTTGAAATCGGATAAAAATATATATGGGAACTATATCCAAATCTGAACCGATCTCGATAAAATTTGGCAAAGATATTTCTGAGCTGTATTTGATATATTTCCCTGAATATCGTTGTTACGGAGTGCATATTACGGCTGTGGGTAACAAATACAAAAAATCGGATGAACAATATATATGGGAGCTATAACTATATCTGAACCGATCTTCACCAAATTTGGCATACTACCTTCTAGACTAAATTCGGTCGTATGTGCCAAATTCCATCCCATTTGGACAAATATTAGACGTTTGGTGCACAATAAATGGTAAATCGGACGAAGTTATATATGGGAGCTATATCCAAATGCGAACCGATCTCGATAAAATTTAGCAAAGGTATTTCTGAGCTGCATTTGATATATTTCCCCAAATATTGTTGTTACAGAGTGCATATTACGGCTGCGGAGGACAAAAATAACAAATCGGATGAACAATATATATGGTAGCTATAGCTATATCTGAACCGATTTCGATCAAATTTGGCATACTTATTTTGAGGCCTAATTTGGTTGTATGTGCAAAATTCCATATTATTCGGGCAGATATTATACGTTTGGTGCACAATAAAAGGCAAATCGGACGAAGATATATATGGAGCTATATCTAAATTTTTACCGATTATCTCCAATTTCAATAGGGTTCGTCCTTGGGCCAAACAAATGTTGTTTGCAAAATTTCATCTCAATCGGATAATAAATGCGACCTGCATTTTGTTCACAAGAATACATGGACAGAAGGACGGACGGATAGACGGACTGACATGCATAAATCAACTCAGAAAGTGATTCTATGCAGATCATCAAAAGGAACTATGGGTCTATCTCGTTTCCTTTTGCCTGTTACAAACAAATGCACAAAGACATAATACCCTGACCACCTTGTGGTGTAGGGTATAAAAAGTGATCAGACATTTGTCAACCAAGCCTTTTCAAAGAACGATGAGTGGGGAAGCTATTTACAGAAGCGCAGAAGTCAAAAAAGACGACGAGTTCGTCGCATCGCAATACACCATCGAAGGAGTAGATCTGATTAAGAGGGTCATGTGATTATTAGGCACAAATAGGGACTATAAAGGGTTGGCAAGCTTTAGCAGGAATTTTGTTGTTTAAAATCCTTTTGTTATATCGGAAAGAGAGAGAGAGAGATAGTTAAAAGGAAGTTGTTTGATTCGTAAATACTCACAGGTTCCAAAGAGATAATAGCATTTTGAATTTCTCTCCCTGGGTAGCCGACCTCAATAAAGACATCTTCGACCGAAGGACAATTCCTGTTGGTGTCAAAAAACACACCGGCTGAGGATGTGGCCACTTCAACCAACGTACGGCCTGCCCCTACTGATAGATAACCCAACTAAAATGGTTTAAGCTGAACTCTCTTTAACTTGCTTAGTGAGCCAGATTTTCAAGCTAAAAAGTTCTAGTCAAAATGCAGAAATCAGGCGCGTATCAACGCTCCTGCTGATCAAACTCTTATTGATCAATAGAACCTCAACCCAAGCTTGCAAGGATGGACTTGCCGAGCCATGTCTCCAAGACATCCTATGTATACTCCACATCTTCTGCCACCAGTAAAAAGGTAGAAGTCACCTAAACCATTCTATTTACCCATCTTTCGCCACAGTTTATCAGAGAATCTTAATTTTTAAATCTATGTATAAATGCAGAACCCGACTTGCAGATCTTTATGCGCTAAATGCGTATATCACAATAAACTTGCAGCTTTTCAGCCAGTGGCGGATCAACTCCAAGGAAAACTGGGTAGGAAGCAGAAATACTTCAGTCATTTCTAAAGCAGAACCCAAGCAAATGATCAGGGACGTTAGGTGAGTTTGATAAAGGACCGATGCAATGTTTTCTCCAGTTCTGCAATATTACGCTGTATATAGCTGTCCAGGACATGTGCTGTGATAAGGACGAGTCAAAGGTTATCTTCTGATCAAAGGTTTTTTGATCTTCGAACTGGCTGGGAATGCTTAGGGATTGTGGAGAATATTAAGAAGGAAATACCACATAATAATTAGTTAGAGTATATAACAGTAGCAATAGCACATCATTTTAAAATAGCAAGGGGAAGAACGTTATTGTTCTTACCCTAACGAACGAGGATGAGTCGCTCATATTATCAATATTTTCTAATTTTTAAACTATCTCTACTCTTGTGTGTAATAGTTCGTATCTAAGAATATTTGACCAAACCTTAACTTCTCTATAAAATCCATCAAAAAAAAAACTTCTACGCATAAAAGCACTTTTAAAGAATCATAGAAGATCGTCTATAAAAAGCATGAATGGTCATATAACAAAGGTTTTCATCTGTAAAAGTTTTATGAGTAGTCTTCAATAAAAATCTACATTGGCCTCCCATAAGTGAAAAAATATAACGAATATTCATTAAAATAAAAATTGCGGACGATATTCTATGAATATAAGACACATAGACGTTATTGTATGGAAGACAAATTGAAGAATTGTGGAAATTCTTCTGGCAATAACATAACTTTTAAAATAGGAAATTGAACTGGATTTGTGACGCAAATGTAATAACTTCAGTTTTGTAATAATTACCAAAGACCTAAAATGGTAAAGACTAGACAAAATGCATTTTGAGCAAATGGTTTGTGTCTATACTATCTATATAACAGTTCATGACAGGAAAATGTTAATATCAAAAATACATTTATAGAAAAATATGACAAACAAAAGTTTGAAAAATCCAAAAATTGTGTTTCAAAATTCTATTCCATAGACTTTCCAAATTAATTGCATATTGCCTAAGCGGCTTAAATCGCATAACATTGCTAACTATTATGTTGTTACGATATCATAACAACAGAAGTATTTTCACAGGGTTGCCATGTCTTGGCTCTGTCTTGTCCCATCTATATACTTCTATGTCTTTGTAATTACTTTGTTTTGGTTACGATTTAAACTTGACATTGCAAAATGATTGATGAGTTGTGGGATAAACACGTAGATATTGGTTTTTTAATAAATGAATAGAATATAAATACCAAGCTAAACCAAAACATTGTTACATTTGTTCGGTTTTTTTAAGAAGCATTATTCACTTCAAATAACAGAAACCAAAAAATGCGTTCGTACATTTTTGTATTGTTCGTAGCGATCTGTTGTTTCGCAGTTTACGCCAATGCCGCTGCATTGCCTGCAACTCCAAATGATGTAGATGGGCCAGTACAGGATTCCCAAGACAATGGTATTTATTTTATTATTCATTTCTTTCCTTGTATAATAACAACATATTTTTTTTCCATTTCAAAAGTGGTTCCTGAACCCAACGTAGATGGACCAGTGCAGGAAGCACCTAATAATGGTATTTTCAATATCCAGATTGTTCTTATATTACTACAATTCATGCTCTTCTTTTTCAGGTGTAATTGGAAATGTCCCCGAACACAATGGCCCCAAAACTGTACCAGAAGCTCGTACGAAATTCTTGCTTTTGCCTTTGTTATTCCCCGATCAATTTTATTTCTAATTAATTGTGGGCTCAAGCCTAACACAAACGTTTAAAAATATATAAATGATTTGTATGCAAAAGCATTTTATTGCCTGAAATAATTATCGGATACTAAGTGGATCGATTTTTTGTTATATATCAAAATAAACCAGTCAAAAGTTGGGCGGGACCGGCTATATGATACCCTACACCACTATGCATATTTAGTAGAGCTCCCGTAACAAAACAATTTAATTGAAGTAGATCATTGCACCTATCAATACTTGGCTTTAGAGCAGTTTTAGTTTGGTCTCAGTGAGAACTAATATATAGGAGGCATATCCTATTCTGAATCGATTTTCACTAAATTTTATAGCAAATAACATTGCTATAGAGTGCATTATATCACTTCGAGAATGATTATATTAAATATATATCGGAGCCGGGTTCCACAAAATGGAAAGGTACGTCCCCAAAGTTTCTCCATTTGGGCTCATATTAGTCATTATTTGCACAATAAACCTGAAATCGGATTAAGGATATATGTGGGAGCTATATTTAAATTTTAGCCGTTCTTGATAAAATTTGGCAAAGGTATTTCTGAGCTCTATAAAATATCTGGTACCAAATATCATTGTTGTCGAATGCATTTTACGAATATGAGGGACTTAAACACCAAATCGGATGAAACACATATATGGGAGCTATAGCTATATCTGGACCGATTTTCTCCAAATTTCATGTAGTTGCTTCTAGACTGAATTCGATTGGATATACCAAAAATTTTTGACATATATCGGCCATTTGCTGAACAATTAACCCGAAATCGGTTGAAGATATATATGGGAGCTATATCCAGATTTGATCTAATCTCGATAAAATTTGGCAGAGGTATTTTCGACCTCTTTAACACATCAGGTCTCAAATGTCATTTTTGTAGAATGCATATTACGAATATGAGGGACTTAAACACCAAATTGGATGGAACATATATATGGGAGCTATAGCTATATCTGAAATTTAAATGTACTTGCTTCTAGACTGAATTCGGTCAGATGTGCCAAAATTCAGGTCATTTGGACTGATATTGACCATTTGGTGCACAATTAACCCGAAATCGGTTGAAGATATATAAAATTTGATACACTTATTTCAGAGCTGTATCTGATAACTGGTACCAAAGATCATTGTTGTGGAATGCATATTACGCGCGTGAGGGACTTTAAACCCCAAATCGGATAAAACATATATATGGGAGCTATAGCTATACCTGAACCGATTTACACCAAATTTGAAGTGATACTTTCTAGGATAAATTCAGTCGTAAATGCCGAAATTCATTTGGGCTGATATTAGCCTTCTGGTGCACAGAGGGTATAAAAATGTGATATGTCACCATAGAGTGTAATTTAGCTCTAATATTAGTTTCCCAGCCTCCAAACTCTATGTCACAGACACGTTGCCACAATTTCAGAGCAACAGATTCATGCTTTGATTCAAAATGCCGTTGGTGGTATAAAAGAAAAAAAATCTAGCCAAATGTTTAGTCAAATACTAAAAGAAAAGTTTTAGAACAATTCTTACATCGAATGCAACAGGCCTTGTGAGGACGAAAAGAGAGACTAATTATGGCAATATATACTAAAGGCCTGCACAAGACGAATTGTATGAATTATGCTTTTTTCGACACACTGACTTTGTCTACTCAATCATGCGCTATGTATTTGATAGGCAATGACAACCAACAACATCCCCCATTTTGATTCATGTGTGCCATTGTCTAAGGTTCGATCGTGGCATGGCTGACTCGAATATTTGCATGGTGTTCTCCATAAATGCAGGGTGTCAACGATAACATCGAACCGTGTCATCGTCAAATTGTGTGTCATTTGTGTACGTGTGCTTAAATTGAGAGAGTGTGTGTGTGTTACTTTCGACGGTGAGGATGTGTTTTTGTGTGTGCTGTAATTTGGAAGTAACAAACACGGCATACATATAAAAGTGAGTACGAAATCAATAATTAAAAATATTCTTTATGACGTAGTTGAGGGCAGAAATATTAAGAAAATGTATCAGTTCTTTTTAATAATGATTGCCATTTTGGATTGTTTCGTCAATAGCCGAAATGTGAAAATTTTGTGTGGACCAATTAGAAGTACCTGAAATATGTTATTATTCGCCAAGAAATACTTTATTACAAAAATTGTATTTTTCACATATCGGAAAAACAGGTAGCGTTTGCGCATTTGCCTTCATTACGTGTGTGTATTTCTCGTTGGCAATTGTTCCATTATTGTTGTAATTTTTGTGGTAGAACATTTTTGTATGACGCACTATTCAACATCCCCTTTTATTGGTCATTACATGTTATGACGATGGGTTTGAGCCTGACCGACATGACGAGACATCGAGCATTTGGTTGGATGTCACGTACTGTTATGCGTTTGATCAAACAGGGCACAACATGACGAGCGTTTTCTCTCCATGGCATAAATAGAGAAATATGTCACACTTGCAGCCCTTTAATATATACTTCAAAAGGCAATCAACAATTTTGCTCCTTTTTTATAGACCATCGATATTATCACCAATCAAGGGGTTTTAGTATCTATTACACACATCTCTTTTACTGTTTGTATTTTTTCTCTGTTCTTGAATGAACTGAAATCCTAAATTTCTTAGCCCTGACTTGAAATAGTTGGTGTCTCTTAACCTTTAAAAGACACATGAAAAAATCCTATTTGTTGGTCTTTAAAACTATGTAAGGTTATTGTGTGTACAGCAGCAATTGTTTTTCGTTCCGTTCGGAATCCTTGCTGACAAAGCTGGATAATTTGGGTTTACCGTTGAAATGCATTCCGGTGCTAAGGTCTTTATTAATTCAGTCTTGCTGCTTCATTTTATTGTTTTCCAAGTGTTCTCATATCAAACCCAAATCCCTTAAAAAAACTTCTTGGCATGATTAGACTTAAAATATGGATTACCTTTGTTTGTCTCCAACTCCTTGTGCTCATTTCTTCACCGCCACTGGTAACACTCGTATCGTTTTTTTTTGTACTGCTACGTTTCCGTTTCTTACGCTGCTTGGCATGATTGTAAATTGTCTCTGCATCACTAAATTTTTAAAACAGAATTAATATTCTCCCTTAAAGTGTAACAATATTAGATATCATACTTTGCAAGATAACGTACTCCCAGCCGGGGCAAATCGGCATGTTTCTTATTAAAGAAGGCCACTTCCATGCGCCTTAGATAGGCTGCCCATACCTGTAGGGCCATAAGTTTGAGTTCCTCTTTTGCACCATACGAAAGTAATTCCTCGACATAGCCTCGTAAAATGTAATTGTAACATTCCCAGGAGGTAAGTTGAGCTGTAATAGGATGATATTTAAAGTTAGAGCTACTCAGGAGATTTTAAAAATGACATACGTTTCTCTGCCTTGACCACATTGATTTTCAAGGTTTTTGTATGTTTTGTGGTCGTTGTTTCATTGAAAGCATCATCATCATTTTCCACCTCTACTTGACGCACTTGCTCCTGTTTGGTACCACATTCTCGGCAATAGTAAAAACCCTCACGCTGTTCGAAGTCTGTTTCACCACAAACTGTGCAGGTTATGTTTGTAATGATCTCCTCTTCCATAGTGAAAATTAGAATTGTTAATTGAAGAGTTTCATGTACGCCACAAAGTTCTGCTCAGAAACCGTATACTTTTCCAAGATTGTCTTGGTCAGTCGTTCTCTGAAATGGTATATGTATATGTGTCAAAGGTTTTCCGGCAATGTCTACATTCTAAATTAGACTTCCATTGGGCTATACTGTCCAACTCTTACCTGTTTTTAATAATTCTGTCCAATTGCCCAATAATGTCCAATTCTTATCCAATTCCAAGGTGTTCAGGAGTTGATTGTCGTCTCTGCTTCAAGCGTGGTTGGTTGTTCGTTGGAAAAAAATGAAAAACGTCCCATCGAAACGAATATGGAGGCCACAAAGGAATACCCGATAAAAAATAAACAGAAAGCAAAGACTCGGGGTACTTTTTTTGTTTACGAATGAGACATGAAAAAATTGAAAATCTTCACTAAAGAACGCGGAACTAGTTGCTACTATCGTTTGCAGAACTCGACTATGGGCTTGGGTGAAAACCGAGTACTCGACTATTCATATTCGATTTCAAATTCCTGTTAAACTATTGTGTCCAGGGGCTGGATTCTTGTTCTATGCAAATATGAAATGAAAAATATCTTGACCCAATAAAGTTAAAAATCAAAACAAAAATAGGGATAGGTAAGTCGACTTCCGATTAACCGAATAATCGACTTTTAGTACTCGAAGTTCTGAAACTCGAACTCTACTATGGACTAGGATAAAAACCGAGTACTCGACTATTCATAGTCTAATGTTCGACTTATGCTATCTTCTCATTGCCATTTGCATTTATAGGTCCAGGTTTTGCATAGCCCTCCCAATATTCGGAATTTTGATGATTTTTGCCACATTTTTGTCGGATTTGTCTAAAAATTGGTATTTGTAGTCCGTAATGGGTCCTAGTTCCGGTGGCGAAAAATTGTATGTATACGTCCACGATTTGTATAGCCCTTACGATATTCGGTATTTTAATTATTTTTGCCACATTTTTCCACGGACTTATCTTAAAATGGCTACTATAACGGTACCTTCGAATATTCGATATTTTTTTCAACGGAATTGTTTCAAATTTTGCATTAAGAGTTTATACCGGGGTCTACCTCTGCTGACTAAACATAGTCTGTATTTATCCGATCTCACTGGTATTTGCAGATTAAAGTGGTGGGATTATTGGAGTGTTTCTGACTGGAGTGTTTCGAACTTAATTTTACTTTAATTGTTTAAGAATAATTAAAAAAACTACCAAATCGATTGAGATTTTTACTTTAATTGTTTAAGAATAATTAAAAAACTACCAAATCGATTGAGATATCTTATATCAAAACTAGCGCCATCTTTATGTGTATTTTAGGGTTGACAATTCATTTGCTGTTTTACTAGTCGTCGGTAGATGGCAGTACACCACGTTGACTTGCATTTGTATATCCTGAACATATATAGTATAGAGGGTATATTAATTATACCCTACAACACTATGTGTTGGGGGTATTATAAGTTTGATTGGGCCAAAAATTATGTAACACCACGAAATATTGATTTCCCACACAGGAAAGTATATATGGGTCTTCCTATCTCGCCGAACTGAGTCGATGTAGCTATGTATGTCCGTCTGTCCATGTTAATTTGTAATCAAGCTACAGGTCGCAATTATGAACCGATCCTCACGAAATTGAAAATGGAGGTGGGGTTATGGTCAGAATAGAACCCTATTGTTTTTGGAGACGGATGCACAATATTTAGGGGTTGAAGTGGACCAAAAACAGAATAATTTCCTGATTTTGCAGTTGCTCTATAGGCCACAAATATGAAGCAATCGACGCGAAAATTTACATGGAGTTAGAGTTTAGGAGTGGGCAGAAACCTACCAATCGGCCATCGGCCAACAATTAGCGGGTTAAAAAGACCCCAACTTTTATGTAAGAAAATATGAAAATTTCCACTAAACCGCGAATATTTTCAATCCCAGCCAAATCACAAATACATTAAAAGATCACTTCTAAATTAAAAGATTACTTCAGTGATGCTAATAGCCAAGAAATCGGAAATATAGCAATATAGGTACAACATATATGTAAAAGAATTTATCATATTTATACTGCTTATAAATCAAGAACCGCTGAGCCGATTTTCACAATACCCATCAATTCGGAATAGTCTCTTGTCAGAAAACGATAATATCTAAGAAAATCGCAGGAAAATATATCAATTAAAAAAGGGAATATCTTTTGTCGATTTTTTTTTTCAATTTTTGTCATATTTTTTATCGCATGCGATTTTTTCAATTCGACTACAATTTTGAATTGTAAATTTTTTAAATTTTTACACCCCCCAACACTACGTTTTGAGGTTATGATATACATATCGCAATTATCGTCCGATCCTTATGAAATTTTGCATGGGGGTACGGTTAGGGTCAGAATTAAAGCCTATTGTTCTTAAGATGTACATTTTGAGGTGCAAATGGACTAAAAAATTTAATTTTTTCTAATTTTGTAGTCGCTCTATAGGCCACAATTGAAAACTAATCGACACGGAATTTCGCATCGGAATAACTCTCTTCCGACAGGGAAGAAGTCTAGAATTTTGGATGACTGCAAAATGGACCACAACTTTCGCGTGAAATTGTACGGAGTGCGTAAATATTTGTTAAATTCTACGGGTCAAAAAACTAAGGGTAACCTCTGTAGTGTTGTAGGGTATCACATGGTCGGCCCGCGCGACTATAGCCTTTGCTTACTTGTTTTGTATTTCCGTTTGTAATACCTCGACATATACATTTTAGACCCCACAAAGTATACATATTCTTGATGAGCATAAAATGTCGATTTAGCGATGTCAGTCCGCCGTCTGTGGAAATCACTCTAGCTTTTGAACAAAATGAAGTAGGTTGATAAAATTTTATTCAAGTGTATATTTTGTCTGCAGGACTTTTGGTATTGAAAATGCGCCATGTAGGTCCACGTTTTGGTATAGCTCCCATGTAACGGTACCTCCTGATATTCGGTATTTTGATTGTTTTAGAGACATTATTTACCGGAATTGTTTAAAATTTGGTAGTTGAAGTTTGTAACGGATGCTGCAGCCTATGATAGAAAATTGTCTGTGCAAGTCCACGTTTTCATATAGCCACCATATATCGGCACCTCCCGATATTCGGTACTTTTTGAAGTTCGTAATGGATACTACAGCCTATGACAGAAATTTGTTTGTGCAGGTATAGCCCCCATATAATGGTACGTCCCTATTTTATTTTTCTGAAAATTTCCAAATTCGTTCTAAATGGTGGAGGGTATTCAAAACATATATATATATATATATATATATATATATATATATATATATATTCAATACACCGAAAATGGGGGGGGGTACCGTTGTATGGGGGATATACGATATCGTGGATCTATATAGACAATTCTCTGTGTGGGGGTGAAGTACTCATAAAGAACTCCTTGTGTACAATTTCAGATAATTCGATTGAAAAATGTGGTTACAATAATCAAAATACCGAATATCGGGGGGTACCGTTGTATGGGGGCTATACGATGTCGTGGACCGATATAACCCATCTTCGAACTTGACCTGCCTGCAGACAAAAGACAGATCTGTGCAAAATTTTAGCTTCCTATCTTAATTCGTTTTGACTGCAGCCTGATTACAACAGACTAACTGACGGAAAGGGCTAAATAGTCTTAGAATTTTACGCTGATCAAGAATATGTATACTTTGATGGGTCTAAAATTATTATTTCGTTGATTTACAAACGTAATGATGAACTTAATATACCCTCTATAATATGTATGGTGGAGGGTATAAAAAGTGAATATTGTTTGCTACATTTTTTCAATTTTTGCCACATTTTTTATCGCATGCGATTTTTTTGAATTCGACTTACAATTGAAACACTAAAGGTGACGGTATATAAGCAGCTTGGCATCCTCCATCCTTACATCCAATTACTATCAAAACAGAAGAAAAAGAACCAAACAGCTTATTGTATTGATTTTGAATAAACAATTGAAAACCGCGAAAATGAATGAAAGGTTAAAATTTCTTTTCAAAATCATGTTCTATATATCTCTAATTATACCATGATTGAATCCATGACCTATATAAGGTCGGCCAGAAGGCCCATCTGGCAACGAAGTTTGTTGTCACAAGACATATTGTGAATTGAAATTCAAAGAGAGCCAAATTAAAATAGTGCTGCAACTACTACTACATTTATTGTTAAATTGTTGTCAAAAATAGTATTCTTGGCTGACCTTATATAGGCCATAATTAAACCCTCTCTGCTTCTTCCCCTTTAAAATAAAAATGCAGTTTCTTCTTTCAATTTCTGAAAATACACATAACCATTTGTTTTGAGTCTTTATTAAATATTTATGTATATCATATACTATTTTTTTTTCGCTATGACATTCGTTTTAATTGTCTTTATAATTTATCTTTTTTTAGTTTGTTTGTTCTTTGCCTAAATTCTATTTACATAAATTATTAGAAAATAAGATCAACATTTTGAGCATTCTCGTTTTGTTGTTTTTCTTAACACTGAAAAAAAATAAATAACAATTATTTGTGAAATACTACACATATGCACATATATCTTAGGATTTTCTCTATAAATATATAATGTTGCAATAGGATACGAGAACCAGTCTCCTTTAGGTTTTTCGTATGAATATATAAATTTATGGTATTGGGATGTGCATTTATGAACATTGACGCAGACATATATAAATATAGAATGCATTTGCTATACACAGGACATGAATACATGCACGTACATATATTCGTAATGGGATAACGGAAAAGTAAATCATTATAAAATTTATTTTAATGGGAATATATGGAATTCAAATCGAAATGTACATTTATAAAATTTCTGCATTCAGTTTTGAATCGTTTATGGTATTTTTTTCTACTCAATACCAAAATAGTAAAGAGAATGTACTTTTTCAATATTATTTACAAGGTGAGATAAAGAAACTACAACAAACTTAAGACTGCTGTCATTTCTATGCCACTCGTACGACAGCTGTTAAAATTATTCCAGTGAGAGAACATTATATTGTTTACAAGCGTACATAAGCATTTTGGTGAGAATTTTCCAGAAAAATAATTATTCTTGATGGAATTCAAGCGTGTTTATGTTTGGCTGGAAAACCACAAGTGGCTATCGTTAGAGCACTCCAGCATTTAACTGTGAATAAATCTTTTGTGTCTCATACCATCGCCCGTTACCGTGATACTGGTAGAGTAGCCCGACGTCAAGGAAGTCGACGGAAGAAAACAGCTACATAAACAGAAATGGTTCGAACATTAAAGA